TATCATCAAATATTATCATCAAATAGCAACAACATAAACTAACAAAACTAATTAGAACAGCATGTTCATCATGTTTATAGGGTAAACAATAAAGACAACAAACCTGAACTATTTAGTTAATTAAAGAGAATGGGCTTTAGAAGTGCATAATGAAGGAGTCAGGGAACTTGGCTGAGGAAGAGAATTCACAGTTCAGGAGCCAGCAGAGAATGTGTTTGTCAATATTGTAGGAGTTAATCTGACCTTCAAAACTGTCCTAAACTTTATTATGCTACACAGTGTTTCAGCTATTTGACTATATCTCTGAAAGCTGTGCATGCAGAGTCACAGATCTGTTCTTACAAATAACAGATGACTAGTAAACCTCTATCTGAACTATAATACTGAATGTAAACAATTAACTTCCATAGGAAAATATAAACTGTAAACTTGTACATGGAAATTGATGGTGTATGATGAAGTGGTTTGATTTAGTGTTTTTGCTTAACTGTCTCTAATATGCTAATTATTTGTGTCCTGTTTTAAAATAAAAAGCATTTGCTCATATGACATTCTACAGTACTGTACCTGTATTATGAAAGATTTTATGCTGAATAGTCTTGTGGTCAGAAACAAGTCTGGCTTCTCACCTGAGACTATGGGGAATTTGAATTAAAAAAAAGTAGTCTTATATATATTGTACTTAAATATGTCAACTGATTGATTGATTACATGCCATGAAGTTGTTGTCAACTCTTACTGATTACATGTATAGATTTTCTGTGGAATCTTTGGTGCTCTCTGAGCTTGGTGCTTTTCTTGCAGATGTTTCATTACCAAACTAGATAACATCATCAGTGCTAGTCAGTGCTAGCCAGTTCTTTTCTCCAAGATGCTCTGTCCCTAACCTAGTCCTTTAGCTCTTCCAATGTGCACTCTTGGCTATTGTAACTGCTGGTCATTCTCTTCTTCTCTTTCCTTACACCTTCCCTAGCATTAGAGCCTTCCCTAAAGACCCACAGCAGGTCTTTGTATAATATATCTGCGGTAGGGTAATTTGAGCCTGGTCATTTGTTCTCAAGTAAGAACTCTTGGTTGATTTATTCAATGATCCATTGGTTTATTTTCTTGGCTATCCATGGTATTCTCAGAAATCTCAAGCAGCAAAGCTCTTCCTACCTTGCTTCTTTAAAATCCAACTTTTGCTTCCACAGAATACCATAGACCTTTGTAGGTACAGACACATCGTGGCAGGTGAATATCTTTTCTAAGGTCTTCATGCCTGCTTTACCAAATGCTAGTCTGTTGTGTATATGTTGACTGTTTCTTTACTCTGGATGGATTATCCTAAAAGATAGAGGCTATACAACACTTTGATAATTTTATTGCTTATTCCAATGATGGTTGTTCTATCTGTTGTCATTACCTTGGTTTTCTTTATATTTAATATTAGTAAGGTGTTCCTTGACTTTTTTTTTTTTAGTAGGGCTTTCAGATCCTTTGTTTTTCCGGTTATCAGAGTCATGTCACCAGGATCGCACAGATTATTGATGTTTCTTCCTCCAATTTTAAAACCATGTTCATCTTCTTCTAATCCAACTTCCCTTATTCAGCATATGGGTTGAATAAATAAAGGGATAGTATACAATCTTGTTTCACAACTTTACAAACCTGGAACCAGTCTACTTCATCTTTTAGAAGACTTCCCTTGTTAATTATGACTTCTGTTTTAAACTTTATAGATGTTGTTGTAATATTCCTTCTTGTCTCCTCTAACAGTTCTCCAAAACTCTTCATTAACTTTTTTTTGAAAATTTGTCTTTCTTCCCTTTGGCTTTTTTTTTTCCTTCATAGCAATTTCCATCGTTTGTTGTGATATCTATTTTGCTTTTTTATGTTCATTTTTGGCAGTTGTTTTTACTTTAACAACTTTTTAAAGTTCATTCTATAATTCCTCTGGTTTTCTATCAATAAGGTGCAGGATTTTAAAGTGATTCCAAATGTTATCCTTAAAAAGGATGGTTATATGTTCAATATCATACTGTGGAAATTGACCTGCTTTCTTCTTCTTTTTTTAGCTTACCCTGGAACTTGCACATAAGCAATTTTTAATCTGTTCCACAGTCGAACCTGGCCATCCCTTTAATGCTATAATTGAGCTTCTCCACCTCCTCTTAGCAATAATATAGTCAATTTGATTTCTGTATACTCAATCTGGTGATGCCCATATACAAAGGCATCATTTTGGTTGCTTGAAGAATGTTAGCCAATAAGAAATCATTGGAGTGTCAGAAATTGATATGTTGGTTTCTTGCTTCATTTCACACAATCCAGTTACATTTTTCTCTCTCATGTTTCCAATTTTGGTATGCCAGTCTCCAATCACAAGCAGCCCACCTTGCTTCAGTGTTCTATCAATTTCAAATTTAACTTGATCACAGAAATCAACAACCTCCTCTTCTGCATTAGTGTTGGAACATAAACCTGAATGATCTATTATATTAAAGATGTGTCCATGAAGTATAATTAATATTATTGGGGCATTAGATTACAACTTGCATTGTAGCCAAGTACTCTTCTTGATACACTCTTCCTAATTATAAAAACAATACCATTCTTTCTTTGTTTTTCATATTGTAATAAATAGTGTAACCTTCTGACTGACAGTGTCCATTGCCAGTCCATATCAATTTGCTGATGACTAACTTATCAATTTGTAGTCCTTTCATCTTTCAATGTGTTAACCTTTCCCAGGTTCATGCTTCTTATGCTCCATTCTCCTACTAGTATAATTCTGTCTTTGCAGCTTTGAATTTTCTTTTTCTGTATGTCAACATCACCAACTAGATCCCCAAAGGCTTTCAGTTAGCCATGACATAAACATCATTTGTACTCTGAAAGTACATCTCTTCCTCATTAGCATGTTGAGTATCATCTGAACAGAGGGGCCCATCATCCAGCACTACAATGTCAATCATTGTACATTTTCTCTTCATGTGGTTTTCTTGGCAAAAAAATACAGGAGTGTGAGATATTTAATTAATTGTAAGAAACAACAATCATATCTACTGAACTATAATTTTCAAAAGTCATTAAGAAACATGATAAAAATCATGCAGGGACATCAGCAGGAGAAAGAAAACTTCAAACAACAGAAAGAAAACGTCTTAAATACTATTTGTATTCATTTATAGAAAAGACTAAAAGGAAAGGGGGGGGAGTTTCCATCCATTGAGAGGAGTGAATCTAAGAGTTGTAATAGAGTGAGATTCAAGAAAAAAGTTGAAAGGGGAAGATAGTAGAATCTGGGAAGCGACTTTGAAGAAGAACGGATATTACTTTCTCTACCCTGTTAATTCTTGCCCCTGAAGTTTTTACTTCCCTTTATTGACTTGCCCACTTCTGATTTTAGAAGTTTATGATAAGGAAAATTGATAAGCTCCAATAAATGGTCAACAGCCCTCAAGGGACAACTTGTCACAATCAAGAGAAACCATGCAGTATGGAAACCATGCTCTGGAAAAGATGGAGTCTCATCATTGTTAGGATCTCAGTGGACTTTGCTCTATTTCCTTTTCACCTTTTCTTTTCCATCAAACCCCTTATTTGTATTAGGATGAAGAAATCATAAATGTGTTCATATGATTCAAAATCCACACCAGCTGGATTGAATTAAACAACAAGAAGAAAATTAATTCAAGCCAGCTGCAGCTGATATGGATATCGAGTCTTATTGGTATTTTAACTTTAAAATATTGTTTTAAGTAAACCACATTTTACTTAAAAGAACCTGTAGCTTGATCTGGATGTCTGCAGCATGACCATGTTTGATTAACTTAGTGAATGGAATTTTAAAGGCTTGGTGATCTCTTAACCAAACTGTTAGGATACAACTTTTGACTCTGGATTGGCAGGCTTTGGATTGAAGGAGTTGAGATGACTTCCAAGGGACAGTCTTCAGTAACCCACAACTCCCAAAGCTGCTAAAAAGTGAGTGGCATAGCAGCATTTATAATGTCTGCAATAGTCCTGTTAACTGTGTGCAGATTATATCCAAGTTTACTGCATGATGCATCAGAGGGATTAATCAGTGAAAGAATCCCCTGATGAGTAATCAGAGTGGAAAGAGAGAGAATGCTGAGATTCATCCAGGCTCTGAGCATAACACAATTCTCTTTACAAATCGTTTATAAGCTATGAACATACTAAAAGCTCTTAATATAGATGTCATGACCATGATTATGTATACACTTCCTCTTCATTAGTGTGCTTTCAGGTTTCTTTGTGTACTTGGTTTAGAGCAGGAACTGTGTTCTCTTTCTTTCTGTCCTTCTTTTCCACTCCTGCCACTTTCTCCATCTTTCTTCCTCAATAACTAAGCAGTTTTATGAATCATGAGACTGCAAGGCAACGGGTATCACTTCAGTCTCCTTCAGACAGCTAGGTTGTTTCAGTTTCAGGGATAAAAGGCATGAGCCTACCATAGAGCTGAGAAAGTCATTGCTTAAAAGATAGCACACAGTCCCCAAATCTAAAATTATGCAATATATATATCAATTTATAAAATCAGCATATCAACCTAAATCAATATATAAAAAGAATACAGTAAAATTACCCAAAATATAAAATCATATCAGAGCTAAAATAATTTCTTTTTACTCATCACTGGATTGAGATGCAGATGTAGCTTTCAATTAATTCATCCATCTTCTTTTGTATTGCCATCATTTTAGATGTAAGACTCCTGATTACAAAGTATAGCAATGGCACTTAGATTTATATACTGCTTCACAGCCCTCTTTAAACGGTTTACAAAGTCAGCCTATTGCCCCCAACAATCTGGGTCCTCATTTTACTGACCTCAGAAGGGTGAAAGGCTGAGTCTACCTTGAGCCAGTGAGAATCAAACTGCTGAACTGCTGGCGGCAGTCAGCAGAATTAGCCTGCAGTGCTGCATTCTAACCACTGAGTCACCATGGCTCTTATATATATATATAAAGTATATAAAGAAGAGTACTCACCTGTTGTTGACCTGATTGTTGAGGTGATGTTAGAAGATGCCATTGAAGGGAGACATTCATCATCTTGAGAGTAACCAGCCTGAATGGCACGCAGATAACTGTGACTTCTGGTTCGGAAGCAACCTGGCAAGCCGAGGGCATCCATGGCCTGAGCTTCAACTTCACTAAACACTGATTCACAAACAGATTCAAATTGCCCATTGACCTCTGCTTCACTCATCTAGATAAACAACAACATTGCATTTGGTGTTTTTTTTCCCCCACTGGCTTTGAAGAAATGCATTATGCTACAATACACTATCAGAGCTCAAAAAGACTTTACTTCAATATAATTATTGCAATAACCACATTTATCCCTTCCATTCCTTCCTTAATATTTTTTATACTGCAGCAGTAGACAGCAACTTAATTGAGATTAGCTTTCCTTTGCTATAATCTGAGAGCTAAGCAAACTATCTTTTAATTCCGGTGTTAGTCTGAAAGAACATTTTCATATATTGGTTTTTAATTTTATTATATTACATTAAATAAATAGGAAGGATGTCCTAAAGCTGAGGCATTTTAATTGTTATCTTAATTTTTGTTAACCTGTATTCCCTTTGCCACTGTTTTGCCTTTCTCAAGGAATCATCTTGACAATAAAATAGAAATAGAACTAAAATACCCTCTTTTTCAAATCTTAAGCAAGTAAGCAGTTTTAGGAAAAATGACAAAATAATTCCCTCAACTCTTCATATTTAAAAGTTACAGCAATAAGTTACCATTCTTGTGACAGCTCAGCAGTGAGTTCTGGCTTGTGTGCTTGCTTCATTTAATTTGCCCTTCCTTCCTTTAGTTCATTGTGTCATCTAGGAAAGCTGGATAGGTTATGTCCCCAACAGGACACTAATTTGTTCAAGCTATAAATAGTTAGCTAACTCTGGCTTGGAACCAACTTGATTTTCATGTGGTTGGGCTAATCATTTCCTCAAATCTGGATATAATAGGAAATTATTCTGTATTTTAAACTGTACAGTGAGATTTTATTCCCTGGTGCAGAAGAGGTAAGGGATGATATGACTAAGTGAAGTTTCCCCAGGCCATAATTGCAAATTTTTGTCTTCTGTTATATTTGATCAGGAAAGTATGTATTCCAGCTGTCATTTCTTTTAGATAGTTTAATGATCAGCTCATAAAACACTGTTTATTCTGTACATTTCAGGTGTACATGGGAGTGGAACTCAAACACATTTAAGGAGCAACGTTGGACATCAGCAAAGCTGAGGAACTACAAGAAGTAAGAATTATTATAACAGATATTTCTCCCATGCCATATAGGTTCTCTCTTGGTACTGAATTTAATGGTGTCAGTAAGTTGGTAGGGAGAAACATGAGGAGAACTAAAGCATATTGTTTTCCATATGTTATTTAAAAAATGTTTCAAGAAGTGCCTGTTTCAAGGGAAATCCTAGAACTGGGCAGGGCACTTGTGACAACCTAGATATTGTTGAGCAACATTTCTATCAAACCAAATAGGGCTGCTGGATGTAGACTTCAGCAACATCTGAAGAGATTTGGGTCTCCCACTTCTTTTCTTGACTATAGCCCAACTGGCAGCTATGCCCATCAGCAGTTCTGACTGCTGGCACTTTGCTCCTCACCCCAGTAATATTGCTTGAACTATGCCAATATGAAGAAGCAGGAAGACAAGTTGATTAAACATGTATTGTGTTGTTAGTTAAATAATTTCAGTGAGGTGTGTCTATCCACACAGAATATACACAGTCATGCCCCATAGGTACAGCTCCATAATGAATTTGGTCTGAAAGTAATCAGTTTCAATGCTTGCAATTATTATTTCAATTCTCCCATAGGGAGCAGGCAGCATACAAATTTGATAAATAAATAAATAAATTCTAATCGTATTAAGTGCACTCTGGAAAGACAAACATTCTTATTTTGAATTATTTGATATAAACAAAGAAAGATTTATTAAGAAAGAAAGATGGATGTGATAATTATAAATAAGATGAAGAGGAATGTCTTCTTTCCTTACTTGCAAACCCAATCTGCTAGCAGAAAGGATCTTTGTTTTCTGCTGAAAGGGAGAGCAAAAATGGCATATTATCCTCTTCTGCAGTATAGATGGATGCTTTACAGTGGTACAAAGAACGCATAAGATGGAGAACATATGAGGAAGAACCTGCATTACCCTCAGCTTGTATTGTCCTTTGGTCTTCTGCAGAAATGGTAGGAGATACACCTAGCAAACTCCAAATGCCTTGTGAACATAGCCATTTCTCTTGTCATACCAAAGGGTATAGGGAATGGCCTTGAAGGAGAAAGAGTCGCTATCAAGGCAATAGTCAGAGAAGTAGGGCTTGAGCAGGAACCAAGGCAATAACTTGAAAAAACCTCTCAGATAAGCTGTGTCTAGTTCTCATGAAGATAAAGTGAGGGAGGGGGAACTACATTCACACTTGCAAGATTCTATTACTATAGTTGTTGCAATCAAAGTAGTTCTGATCTATAGAGTTTTGGTTTCCTAGTCTGGTCTCCCTTGTAGATCTGACCCTAGCCTTATTTTTAAAACAGAACTATGGTCAAGTTGGGATGTAGATTATAGCTAGCGGACATGGCTATAATTGGAATATGACAGAAAATGAATTATCAGGCTGTTCTTCCTTTTCCTCTAATGTTTAATAATACAAAATTGTTATGAGGTCATATAACTCAAGTGCACCCGTGATTCCTCAATCCATTTCTGCTCTAATTTCTTATAACTCTGCCTTACAAAATGCAATCAAAGCATCAAAATAACAGCAAAAGAGAACTCAGAGAAAAAAATTAAACAACAACAACAACAACAAACACCCACTGAAACATCCCATTCTAGCTAACCCATGTCCTGGGGGAAAAGGCCAGGTTCCAAGGGTTTGTTTAAACAGGGCCAGGGTTGGGTGCATATAAATCTTGGTATACCAGAGGGCAGAAGGCAGTAGTCTCTCTACACAGCACAAGATTCTAGAACGGTGCTAGCCACATTTTCTGTTTAGCCTTCTAAAAGAAAGGAGGAAGAGATGATGCTGGATTGCTGGATTGCCAGTAGTCAGTCCTCTCTCTTATTTTATGGCTCTGCAAAGCAGCTCTGTATATATTTGCAGCACTGAAAACTGGCTACAGTCTCTAGTCTATACCATCAGTAGACATTGGGACTCTTGTACAAGAGCTGCATAAGGTTAGTAAGAATCTTCTCCTTCTCATGCTGCTCAGATTTTCCTAACTACAGCTATTTCAGCTATTCAGCCTGTTACAGTAATGGTGGGCAATCACAACTGAACATGTTGTTAAATATAAAACGAAGTTCTCTATAATGGTGCCACTTTGGGTATCCCCACAAGAAGCCTTTTTTAAGAAAAGAGATGGTGATGAGGCCCAATTGGTGGATCTATTGTAAAATAATATTTGGGCGAGCCTACCCTCAAATCCAAGGAGGAGCTAGAATCAGAAAGTCATGTCTGCAATTGGTTTACATATATGCAATCGAAAGAAAGATTTAATTAAGCTAGACAAAAAGAATCATGGGTTTAGCTTTGTTAAAAACGAATTGGAAATCCTACTGTGTGGTAGTGATGAACATATTATTGCTAAAGTTTATAAAATGTTATTGAATTTAAATCTGGAAAATGAACAAGTAGAACATCGTATGATTCAGTGGGCAAGGAATTTGGGGTACAATGTAACACTTGAACAATGGGGGAATATGTGGAATAAAGGATTAAAATTTACGTTAAACTATAATTTAAAAGAAAACTTTTACAAGATGATGTACCACTGGTATTTAACACCAGTTAAGTTATCAAAAATGTATAAAGGCATTTCAAATGAATGTTGGAAATGTAAATATAAAGAGGGGACTTTTTATCATTTATGGTGGACATGTGATAAAGCAAGAAAATATTGGAGTAGGTTTCATATGTTAATACAGAAAATTCTTAAAGTGAATATAGAAAGAAAACCAGAGATGTTTCTTTTGGGGCTAATGGATAAAGATCTGGAAAAAAAATATGGAACCTTGATGTTATATATGTTGACAGTAGCAAGAGTACTCTACACTCAGAAATGGAAGACTGCATCGATTCCCACAATGTAGGAATGGTTACAAAAACTGATGGAACTAGCAGAGATTGTTAAATTGACTGTACTGATTAAAGAAAAGAATACAAATACTTTTATTGCTACATGGAAACCGCTTCTGGACTTTGTGCTTGAGGTGAAAAAAAAATGAAATTTTGATTTTGAGCTTTACCGATTGGATAGATTTGTTGTTATCGAAATGGCTAGTTTAAGTAAAAAGTTGAGGTTTGATAGTTGATATTTTATTTTATTTTAGTGTACCAAAGGAAGTCGGAAGTCAATGCCTTTTTTTTCTTTTTTCCCCTTCCCTCACTTTTTTATTCCCTTTCTCCTGCCCTATCTTTCCCGCTATTTACTTTTGTATTTTCTTTGTATCGTATACTATAAACTAATACAACTTTATAAAAAAACAACAACAACTGAATCTGTTGGAATTCACTGTTGGAATTCAGCTGTAACAGCTACAAAGCTATGTTACACAAAAAGTGATTGAATGAATAAAAAAAAATATTTTTAAAAAAGATAAAAGGTTTCCCTTGTCCAGTTGTGTCTGACTCTAAGGAACTGTGCTCATCTCTGTTTCTTAGCTGAGGGAGCCAAGCATTGTCCAAAGACCTTTCCATGGTCATCTGGCCAGCATGATTATGTGCCGAAGCACATAGATCGCTATTACCTTCCCACTGAAGTGGTACCTATTTATCTACTCGTATTTGCATGCTTTCAAACTGCTGGATTGGCAGGAGGTGAAGCAAGAATGGGAGCTCATTCAGTTATGTGGTACTTGGGTCTTGAACTGCCAACCTTTCGGTCAACAGCCAAGTGTCTTAACCACTAGGCCACCTTGCCCTCTACAAAAAAAGACTCCAGTTTAAACTTTTTACACCTAAATATGAAATGAATACACATCAAAATTTAACATTAAATGGCTTTGGATTGCAGAGAACTTCCCTATAGAACAGAATTCTCTTGAAAGCCAAGCAAGGACTGGAGGAATATGGCTGTGGGAGAAAAGGTGATGGTGTCCCTGGATGAGGAAGGTCTTTCTATTGTCTTACGGATCTAGGAAAAAGAGTCAATGGATGTGGTTTATGCCTGCAAAGGTATGATGAATCCACTTTAATTTGCAGTTTCCTTTTAAAAGTGTAAAATTACATCCTGAAACTATATGGATTATTTCAAAAAATGATCTACCCAATATTGGGATAGATTTTAGATAACACAGTTGCAAAAATGGAACTCTGAAAATACATATCACCCACAGGCTGACCATTCCCTTTAAGTTTCCAACTTAGCTTTTTCTTAGTTAACAAAAAAAAGAAAAGAAATTAATCGTTTGTTTATTTGTGACTTTGTAGATATACGTGCAGGTATCACAGAGTATAATCTACTTATTTGTAATTGTAATATATTACAAATTACTGTTAGCGCAATGCAAGCACTGACTTAAGGATGCATTAACTTAGTCTGCTATTTTTCATATATAGTATCAAAGAAAGAAAGTATTTGCCATGAAATATACAGTAAGGGAGCAGATAATTGGTATCTACAAAATATTTTTTTCACTTATGACTTGTTCTTGTTAGGTATATACGTAAAACCATTGAGAACTACAATTTACAAACTTCAGTGTGAAAGCAGCCTGAGACTCTTCTGGTTTCCATTACAAAAATCTTATTAAATTGCACATAAACACAGCTTTCAGCTTAGGAAAATAACAGTAGAAATTATTGATTAGAAGCCTGGGATACGTGGTCATACTCCTGAATTTGTTTTTAAATACCCTATTATTATTAATATATATTTTTATAAAATGCATAACAGGAAAAAGAATCCAACCTGGCTAACGCAGCTGGCCTGACTGAGTGTGCTTACTGCTCTCATATAGCTCTGATTCCTTGATCGAAACTTAGGGGAATTGTAGTTTGCCGAAGGATCCAGCGTATGGCCACCAGGCACTTCACTTGTAGCTTGCAGATAGCTCTGACTATTAAAGAAAGATAGACACAAAGTTTGAAAAACTATGACAAAAACATTCCTGAAATAGCTGAAAAGTGTTCTGTATAATGTATCTTAATAAAGAAAATAAATGATTTCTGCATAGTGGGTATTTGCAGACATGATATTGACAATTGGAATGTCCCATTGGAAAAAGAACATATGATGGACTTGGCCTCTTCTGTTGCTAGGTAAAATTTTGGCCCTGTCAGTAATAACCGTCTGGTCAAAACAGGGCATGGAGTACTTCAGCTCTGCCTGAACTTTACTATAAACTCCAACAGCATAATAAGTACTTAAGAGTTCTGAGACAATCAGATCAGTGAAGCTCTTCTGAAACTTGCTGACATCCCACTCAAAATTTAGGCTTAGAACAAATCTTCCCCAAAGCTTACAGCCCCAAAGATCATTTCCCTACTTGTTTTTGAAGTATGTAACTTTCAGTTTATGTTAAATAATCTAACAATTCTGCAATAACAACCTCTAACAGCTATAACTGATAATGGTACTATATGGCCCCTTATGTTAAATTCATTCTGCAAGCCGGATAACATGAACAGCTCCATCCAAATTTTGATCTGCCAGTTAGTTTTTCTTTATGCTTAGCATTTGAGATCTTTGTTTCTCTCTAGGTTTTGTATTATATTACATTTTAAATATGTTGATCATTTTGTGTTCAGTAAAGTCTCTGCTACATTGAGAAAACTGTTTAATTCATGTTCAGTCCTCTCGTTCATTTGCAGTGGATCCCCTGGGATGGTTGTGCTGCCCATTTCATTAAGAAAGATATCTCAGGCCCAGCACTGATGCTTATATACAATCCCAAAGGATAGCTTCCCGTAAACTAATTTAAACAGCGCGTACTTTAAATCAAATATAGATTTTCTGTGTTTGAAAAGTTAGTTTTAACTTGCCACCCTTAACCACCAGCTTGGGGTTTAATTAGCACATCTCTTGCATAACAACAAAACAATATATGGAGAACAGTTGCATCTGAAATAGCATGTAAGCGAGTAAGCCAATAAATAAATACAATCCTTAGTAAATGACATTATATATTATTACTCCTAACTGAAACTTGATACTAAATAATTCTAGGAAATAATTACCTAAATGTATTTATTAGGAAACTATATTGTAATTATTATTCTTAATTCCATAAAAAATGTAGAGGTGGTCCAGTTCACACAGAAGCTTACTAGTAAAAATAGCAAAGTTAGCAAAGCTAATTGGAGAATAAAAGAATAAAGTTCCCTATAGGCTTTAATAATCTTTTAGAGAGAATTTTTTGTCAATGGAAGAATTAAGTGTTCAAAATACTTTTGCCTTTCCCGCTGACATCCATCTGACCTAAAACTGTTAAACTTTTGCAGGACTGTCTTATTGCATTTTTTTTTGAATGTCAGCAGTCAGTGCAAAAGACCTTTTCCTTTGAATGATATATATCAGCATGTTAAATTAAGTTAAAAACGCCTTTAGACACCTAGAAAATTTTAAAGAACTTTGGGGAAAAGAAAAACCCAAGTAATACACACAACCAAATGACAGCTATAACAAATGGTTTTTATAGCTTTCAACCTTTTTATTTAATCCTAGGACTTCCATGTCCAATTCATTACTGAAGCATATGATGTGTGCTGTAAACATTTGTGGAAAATGTCCCTGAAATTCAATATATTGTATCTAAAACAACTTTCAGGACTGAAATAAATTTGCCTGGATCTAGTGAAGAGTTGAATCATACATTCTCTTTGGCATATAATAAGAATAAGAAAGAAGTAGCAGCATACTGCTGAATTCTACAGTGAATGGAATTTGGTAGAATTTTTTTTTAGCAAACTTCTGTTCAATATGTAGAGAAACAAATGACCAAATCCAGCATTGAAACTTACATGCTGGTCATGTAAACTAAGAGCTACAATACATTTAGCAAGGCAACATGTCTTGATCAAATTATTTATTTTTACAATGTACACTAAATGCCTATTGTAGTGCTACCACTAATACAGACTGCAATTAAATATTACTATGAATTATTTAAATAAAATTAAATTGCCTCAATTTATCCTCAGGCATAGCTTAACATTATTAATGTTAGCTTAGATTATATTCTCATTATATTCATTCGTTTGGTAGCCAGGCAAAATCTTGAACGATAAAGTTTTATTCGGGTAACCTGCTTAAATTCACAACATAAATAAAGTGCAATCTGATATACATCTACTCAAGATAAGATACAGGAGTTAGCGGATAGGTTCTTCTGTTGCAATATGCATACAACTATATGAAAAACCTAGGGCAGTAAATAGGAAAGATGCTTTACTGGGAAAAGAAGCTACTGGGGAGTCATTTAGCACAATAGTATACAGTGAAGTGGTAAAAGCAATAAATAAAAAGCTTGGGTTTTATAAGAAAAACTCTTTCCAGATTCTTAAATGACTGTTACCTAAAGAAACATCAAGGATTTGATAAATAATGAAGGCCTGCAAAGAGGATAATCAGCAAAAAAATAGGGAGATAATCCTAGGGCACCAGGGACCGGTTACGTGAAGAGAAGTTTTTCTGTGGACTGGAGGGGGTGTGGTTTTGTGTGTTGCCTGCATTCTACAGATGAGGCTTTGCTTGTTTGTGCAGCCTGGTTGCTGGCATGCCATGGCCTGGTACCAGTCCATGGCCCGGGGGTTGTGGACCCCTGCTTTAGAAGTCATCTATTTCAGAGGGATAAACAGTCACCCCCTTTGTGCCTAAAAGATGGTGACATGATAGCGGTGTTCCAATATTAAAAGGGGGTCAACTTATTTTCCAAAGCATCAGAAGGCAAGACAAGAAGCAATAGATGGAAACTGAACAAAGAGAAAAGCAACTTAGAACTAAGGCAAAATTTCCTGACAGTAAGAACAATCAACCAGTGGAACAACTTGCCTTCAGATGTTGTGAGTGCTCCAAACACTGGAGGTTTTTAAGAAGGGACTGGACAACCATTTGTCTAAAATGGTATAGGGTCTCCTACTTGAGCAGGGACTTGGACTAGAAGGCCTCCAAGATCTCTTCCACCTCAGTTATTCTATGAGTTATAATATTTGGAGTGAAGAGCTCACTTTTATAAGAGGTGAATCAATATGGCTCCAGGACTATAAAGGAACTGATTTCTTAGTCATCAAAATCCAGAGGATGCTAAATTGGAGCATATGATTATGCATATCTTAGCAATCATTTAAGCATGTTGCCATTAACTCCTGGAAGCCAAATTTAAGCTTTCATAAATGTCTAAATGCTAAAATGCAGTGTTTTCTTTGAAATCCTAATTGTTCTGCACACTAGAAAGAAGAGATTAGACATCTCAAGATATGAAGCAAATGGTAGCATGAGAAGAAGGGATTTATATCTATTAAGACCTGGGAGATATTTGGGACAAGTTGGGCTTATTTCTCAGCCTTTATTGCATTTGTAGATAGGAGGGATAGATTCCAGGAGCATCTTTAGAGTGGTAGTGAGAAGTATTATGCTTTTTGTCAAAAAGCAATCTTGGAGTCTGAGTAAATGAGTTGCCTGAGACATCAATCCTATGATTTTATCTGAACTGGGTTTGATTCTGCAAATCCTGATCACATGGATAGGGTCCTCTGAACTGTGAGTCTGACTATCTGTTAGATCCATGCTTCTCCTAAGTTGTCAAGGCAGCCCAAGAAGTGACCTGTGATTTGGATTGTGATTGTGCTTCTTGAAAGGGGTTCCTCTGGCCTTGAAGGAGACAGTGGTATGACTCGTTTTCAAGAGGCGATTGCTAGACCCTTTCATCCTGGATTTCCCTTTGTGGTCAGAGGGAAAGTAGTTTAATAACAGCTACCAAGGTTCTTGGAGGAGATGGATTATCTGGATCCATTCCAAACAGATTTTGGGCCAGGATACAATATTGAGATGGCATTGCTTGTGCTTGACAATTACTTTTGATGGAGCTAGGATGGAAATGGTGTATCCAACATTGTGCTCATTGATACCTGTATTTTTCAATACCATCAATGATGGTATCCTGGTGGACATAATGCATAGATCAGAAGTTGGGGATATTGTGATTCAGTCTTTGGTCTTTTCCCCCTGATTGGTTCTGATCAGTGTCACTAAGGGTGGGGGAGAGGTAAAATCTACAGTTAAAATCCTGTTTCAGGATTAGACATCTCTCTTGTTTAACAACTATATCAAACCACTAGGTGAGATCTGTCAGTTTGGGGTCCAGCATGCTGATGATACCCAATTGTGTAAAATTTCATTGCATATGAGCCTATCAATGTACTACCCTGATATCTGAAGACTATTTGGGTCAGGATAGAGAAAAACAGAATCAGGCTCAAACCTGAGATTGGAAGGGATTGCACTTCCCTCTCTGAGACTAATGTATAATTTAGGGGTCCCTCCTGAATCCGTAATTACTTCTTGAAGAGTAAATTGCAGTTTGGCTAGAAAGGCTTTTGCACAGGACCACCTTGTATGCAGTTGTGCCTTTTCTTCAACTGGGAGGTCCTTCAAATGGTCACTCACACCTTAGTCACCTCATGACTGGACTATTGCAATGTGATCCACATGGGACTATCCTTGGGGAATCATCTGAGCAGCTACAGCAAGAGCAAAAAGCAGAGGTGTACATAGCAATGGGTGTTTCTTACTATATCTCCAACAGTACAATTGGGCAGAATGAGTACATTCTAGGTTCTTTTGATTAAATATTATCATCCTGTGGGATAGAGGAAATATGCCTTCTCTGTTGCTGCTGCCACCCTCTGAAACAGCACTCTCCTTAGAGATATATACGGTTCTCGTCCTTTAAATGTTTTCTAGGTCTGTGAAGATTTGACTCTGTTCCCAAGCTTGGGGTTAAAATACTTGTGAAGAGCCTGGTGACTTTTGGTTATTTGTATGGCTAGCTTTGGGTGATCATATTCTTATATTATGTATTTTTTTTTAAAAAAATTAAGCTGTTCAGAGTCTGTTGGA